AAAAAAACCTTACAGGCCCTCAGACGAGGAAGCAGATGACACAATCATTGTCATTTCTTCTGACTCTTCAGATGGGTATCGACCTGTTTGCACTCACCATCATTAGCCACCACTCATGGCCTTCCGAGCAACCATCCTCTCCCACGGCTGCTCTGCCAGCTACATCACCAACAGCCGATGAGCAAACCTCGCCCCCTTTGCTCGCTGCTGCACGCTCTGCCAGCATGGAATTTGTCGACTACGGCATCAAAAGTGAGCCTGATAGCCCTTGGATTTGAAGTGGCACTGAGGGTTACAAGTCTCAAAACGACGTGGTAATGACAGCGATTGATTGCCTTCCACGTCCAGCTCTCATGGGTTTGTTATGAGGCAACGACGCTGGCCTGAGCAGTTCCACATCACAAATCTTGGGCTATATCTCAGCAACTGAGATACTATGGTTGAAAAAGACATAAAGAACAACGCGCAGTGCGAGCTTCGAGCCTGCAATGCCTCTGACATTGCCAGCAAGGAGCCTCCCCTCACCCACTTTGATAAGTTCATGGAAACTTTTGGCATCCCATGGCACCATGGCAAGAAGTGGACCAAATTTTACGATGTTCTAGACAGGTGGAGGGCGGCATTTCGCAATATCCAGGACCGGTATATCGCCTACGGCTACACAGATGCAGAGCTATGGGCTAGTTTCCGGCTCGAGGTCGCCAATTCTAACCGTGAGTAGCGATTGGCTAAGCGTCGCAGGAGCCAGCACTTTGCCACTCAGGCAGCTCAGGCAGTCGAATAGTTGCGGTGAGTCTACTTTAGCCACCCCATGAGCCTCCTTGAATATGAGCTCATGGTATGCATCTGTTCATATCTTAGCCGTTTGTGTCTCCCCTGTTGCTGTCCTTTGCACGTACCATCGTTCATCCTGCTTTCGCGTGCTTTGTTTTTCCCTTCTCTTTTGCATGTCTTCGTTGTACCTGTTTGTCTCAGTTTCATGGCGTATTATACGCAGAATTCGATCGAAAGAAACAAGAGCAATGAATGCAATTAGCCAATACACCAATACACGCTTGTCTTTACATGATAATTTATGCGAGAATTGCAGCAGAAAGGCTTTCTATCTCTCATAGGAAGTCCCATTGCTTGTTCGACTCGTATCGGAGGGCCTGACTCCAAGCTTTGGCATTTTTGAGGTCTAGTTTACTCTTATTTCCTTCATGTATGCCTTGCTGCAGATAGTTCTGACAATGCACAAACCATTCTTCGTTCATCTTTGTCCAGTACCCAACATGCATCCCGCTCTCTCTCCAAGTCGAGTTCTTCGGCCACCAGGAGCTTTCCGACGCAAAAGTATGAGTGGAATCTGAAAATAAGCTGTGAGCCAATAAATATCAGTGTAGCAAGCTTGATGCACTGGCATATACGCGATAAATACTGCAGATGTGATTCAAGTTGTCTTCGGAAAGGGTGGCATCCTCGTACGCAACACCTTTGAGCCAGTGGACCACCTTCTCGTCAGATTCCTCGGAAGATCCAAACGACACTCTGCTCAGGTCCATCTCTTCGTACGCCAGGCGCCATATGATACCACCTCTTCCAAAGGCTAAGCGAATATTTGGATGACGCAGTACAGCGCGGCAGCGCTCCAAATAAAGCATGTAGTCGAGAACCTCTGATTGATAGCCTAGTTCTCTGAATCCAAGCCCTTGCCACCCGCCAATGGGAGGTGGTTTGACAAGCTGGCATGTCGCGGACAATGGCCACAGCATCACGAAAGAAATGCCATGCTTGACTATTTCTTGTGCGTTGTCTTCCTTCTCCGGTCCCCACTTGTGCCGAACAATCTCGAGAGCGGTCGCAGCTTTGGTGATCACCAGCATCCATGACTGATTGCCGGCTGTGTCCTCAGAGGACCGCCAGATATACAGCACGGACCCTTGTGTATCACATTGCAATCTGGTAGAAGCTGCTTTGTGCAGAGCGAGGTGTCGAGTGCATGTTGGGAGGAGATTGCACAGTGAACCCAAGGAGGAATCCACGGTGACAGACGAGC